AAAAGGTCTAATATTGAAAATAGTACTGCAATAAACATTTGAAATATTTTTCAGGTTATTGTTCATCATGAAATTAGATTTGCAGATGGCGCATAAAATTTAAAGAAATTTGAATTTCATTTTGCAATTTTTCTGAAATTTTAAATTCATTTATTTATTTATTTTTTTTTATCATACTAAACATAACTTGATGTCTTGAATTACTTTTTGAAAATAATGACACTTCTCCAACACATATCCTATAATTTGGATAAGTTATTTTTTTTTTCTAAAAAGTGAACTGTTTAATGAATTTCTCAAATGTTGGCACAACTATGTCAATATTTAAGTACATAAAATATTTCTTCTCCTCTTAATATAAACAAACTGATAGACATTTTTCCTCTAGTACAGCAGAATTGTCCATATTTTATTTTTAAATGTTTTCATTAAGTTTGTAGTAAAAGAAAGACAAAATATACACAATTTTTATTTTATTACAAAAAAATGACTGTGAAATTATCTTTGGAGGAATGAAGAATGAGATGCTAGTTATGTGCAGTAGCATTTAATTTGAGAATTAATTCTCAGATATGACACAAACATCTATTTTATCCTTTCAGGGATGTGCTGGTAGTATAAGAGATATTGGTGTAGAAAACAGAATTGGGGAGTTATGTTCAAATTTTAGACTAGTTGGTTACATTTACTTTCACACATGTTCTTGCATGAATCCATAGTGTTTACCAGCCATGGGTTAAATAGCAGAGTAGACTAGGCTTTCTTACATTGGTGGCAACCATTCTAAGAGAAGGAAAACTATGAATTCTAAATTGTATAAAAATTAGAATGCAATGTGAAGCTCCTCTATTATCTTTCTGAAGGATGCTTGGCAAGTCACAGATAAAGAAGAATCTGTGGAGAGTTGCTTGCCTATATTCTGAAATAACATGGCATTGTAAAAAAAAAAGGTCATAGGTGGTTATTCCACTATTTGTAGACACACTTGGTTCATATTTATTTTATTAACCTAGTTGGTATTGATTTAAAATTTGTATGTTGCCCCTTTTACACTCCATAAGCTCAATAGCCAGTTGGTAAAAATCTGCAATCACAAAATTTATTCATTTCTAATAAATTAATGAAAATTTATTTTATTGCTCATTGAAATTGTTTAAGGGATTTGTTGTTGTTGTTGTTGTTGTTGTTTTTTTTTTTTTTTTTTTTTAAAGAAAACAAGACCTAATTTATTAGTTTTAAATGATCCTGGAGAAAATAGCTGTCCTGTATTGTTCTTTTTTAAATTTCTACTTCTACCAACTTTACATTTCTTTATTTTTTTCAGAAAAGGTTTTGTTATGAAATTGTATTTTATTTGCCACTCAGGAACCATGACCTGTTTTATTCCCCCTTTGTTAAAACATAAACAAAGATCAAAATTTGATTAAACTAATTAGGCTTTCTGTTATATATCCTTTAAACTTGTTGTTAACAGATTAAATAAACAAAAATAAAACAAATTTTTAACTTTAGTTTCAAAAGTTTTCAAAAGTTTTAATTCCATATGTCTGTATAAAACTCATTGTATGTCATGTGTTACTTCATTGCTGTAATTTGTCTTTAAGTAGATGGATATAACCAAATTTTGATTGAAAGTTGCATTTAAGTTAAAGTATAAATTTAACAAATTCCCCTTTACATTTTATGAAGATTTTGGGGTAGGATTATTAAATTGTGCAGTGACCAAATTATTATATTAAAAACTGGTTATAGATGCTTTTACTCGAGTTTAAAAATACATTTTATTTCTATTTCAGATGTATTTTAAGAATAATTTTTACTTTAAAATTTACTCAGTTGGCTTGTTCAAATTAATTTCTATTATTTTTGTTTAATCTTTAGAAAATAGTGAAAGTATATCATTAATTTTAACATTTTAGTTAAATGGAGAAAACTGATTTTTGTAACTATACAATATTTATAAGTATTTTTGTAAAAATATCTTGTAAAATTTTATCTATATAATTTTAGAAAATATTTTTTTCATAGATGCATGAATTAAAAAAATGGTAAACTCTCTATTTAAAACACTTTAAATATAGAAGCACAAATGTTCTCTTTCCTTATATATTGTACATAATTTTAATTCATTTTGTCAAAAGAAAAAAATCTTTTCGTGCTGTTATTTCAATAAGTAACTATTTCTACTATTCAAAAAAAAATTATAATTTTTTTTTTCTCCTTTCCAAATTTGTAATGGGAAATATTTTAAATAGAATTTTATAATGCCAAAAAAATATTTTCTTTCCATTTTTGTTTTTTATTTTAGGCATTTTATTATGAAAATCAAATGTCTTTCTTATTCTGCTTATTCAAGTGATAATCTCTCAGACAAAATAACTCAAGATTTAAATATAGACACATCTTTTTCAATAGCATTTTACATTAGTTCCGTCTGAGATTATTTATATGATTTTCAGTTGTAATTCAAAAGTGAATGTTTTTCTGAATCACCAGCAATGTTTTTTCATTCTTTACAGAGAGCTGGAATTTATAGTTTTGTCTACAAATGAACTTTCAAGAATTATTACTGTCAGCAAAGTATTTTAATATTATTTTTATATTAATTTGCTTTTGTTGGCATTATTAATTTTATTAATTGTTTTTTTTTTAAACTGTATAAATATTAAGGTTAAGTTTGGTGTAAATTTTCAACTTTAGCTTTTCTTTTTATTATCTCATTTTACTTAAGCCATTTGTTTCTAGTGATTTTATCTCTTTTATCTTCTCATCACTTTTTTATTGGCATAAACTTTTTATTCTAAACATGCTATTGTTCTTCTCATTCTCTTATCACAATTCTTGTTTGATTAGTTCTCTCACTTCAGTTCTTCCAGTTTTTGAATCTTATGTAAATAAACCACACTTTCCAAATATTTTGTTCTATATTTGTTGCTTTTAAATAATCATTATCTTTTATAATTCTCTATTTAAGTATATCAGTTATTGTTAAATTTATTTAATGCTTTTTTTTTCCTGCTTTCAGTCTGTTGTCTATAAGAGATGAGATTGTTTTCTCAACAAGTGATGGCTATTTACAACGACTTCCTTGGAAAGGAAAATCTATGGATCTCGCCCACAAAATTAGCATTTATGACATTTCATTATCGGCAGATCTTCAACATTCCCGAGGTGAGAAGGTGTCATCAGCTAAATATGTCAACTGTGAGTTTTCTGTAAAATCATTAAGCATGGCATCCACCATATGAAGTACTAACCTTGCCTGGTTCTGGTGGCTCAAGAATTATTTTTCACTTCCCTGCATTGATCAGAGGCTTGACTGTGTGAGGCCACCAATTACACTCAGCAGGTTTGGGGATTTGAGAGTGCAGAAATTTGATTTGCTTTTTTGCATACTGTAGTTAAAGTAAAAACGAAACATAAAGTTGAGGAAATTTGAAATAGTAATTTTAGTAATCTTATTCAAATCATCTTTGCTCTTTTCTTCAAATCAGTCACTTCAAGAATAAGCCTTCCTTCATTAATCTCTCATTATAAAACTTTTATTTTTGGTTATTTATTTAATAACATGTTTCACTATCTGCTTTTGAATTTTGGTCAGATTTGATGCATTGACTTATGCACAACTACCCTTGGGAAAGGCATGAACCATTTCCTCTTCTCAGCTATGGGTTAAATAGTTGCACTTGTCTGGAAAAAAAACATATCAAAAATTGTTAATGCAATATTCACTTGTGAAAAAAAGAAAGTTTTGACTTTAAGTAACCTGCAAAAGGTTGATAAAACAAAAAAAAAAAAACAAACAAACAAATCATTCAATTAATCCTTATCTGCTTGGATTTATGTATAAGAAAATGGAAATTTGAATGTGATAGCTGTATGTATATAGACTGTTAATTTCTGTTAAAATATAAATACGTTGATTAGTATAGTTTTCAAACATAGCTGGTAGCATATGATTATTTACTAACTTCAGTTTAGTTTTGGCACAAGGATAAAATTATGGGTCATCCAATGAGAATCGAACTTGGAATTAATGATTTATCAGATCAGTTTGCTGACCACTATTCTACAGAAGTGTCTGAAATTTTCTTCATTTGATACCCATCATAGGTAGGTTTTAATATTTAAGAACTGAATTTCAGCCTGTCACATCATGGGTCTTGTAACCTATTCAGATCATAGGGTCACCATATGCACTGCAGCAGTGGTGCTTAGGATAAAATAACCTGAGGGATCCCATTCCACTTCAGGCTGGTTTCGACTTCATACTTTTTCTTCTAATAGATTGGTTGCCACCCCAAGGAAAGAAAGCTTAGTTTGTTCTGCTGTTTAATCCATTGATGGAGCAAGATAGATATATGGTTTTTCCATGGGCATTAGTACAAAGTGAATGAAATAGAATCAACCAAAATTCAAATTCAGTTTACCAATTTCACTTTTGATGACAATAACCAATACACTATCCATGCATCCTAAAAAAATGTAATGATTATAAATATCTTTTTTTTTTCTTACTGCGGCTTGTTGGTAATTGCATGCAAGAGTAACATGAGCATTATTATTGCTTAAAAGCAAAAGGTTTGATGCTTTTCAATAGCACTTTTTATTGTAAATAAAGATGCATGGAAATACATTATATATCAGATATAATTACTGTATTGAGAAGAGACTATTTAATGTCCTGAGGTGATTTATTTTAGCTAGTATCCTTATACTATCTTTAATCACTTCATTTCAGCAAGTGAGCTCTACAACCTTCCTCAGATGTTTGTCATATCTGGAAATCTTTATGCCCACATTCTCAATTTGTATGTTGAATATATATATATATATATATATATATATATATATATATATAAAAAATGTGTGAATGAGATAATGATATATTTTATAGATCAAGAACAATATTGGGGAAAATGTATGACAAACTGTAAAAAGTTTTCTTGTGATTTGTTTTGTCATTTAGGACTTCATTGGACTAAATTTATTATGTTGGTGTGACTACACATGTTCACAAATGAGGGATGCTAGAAATTTTAAATTAAAAAAAAAAATAAAATAAATTTCCAGCATTCTTCATTATTTATCTCTATCCATAAAAGGCAGTGTGTGTGTGTAACGAATGCTTGGCCGCAATTTTTGACGGATTTGCACCAAAATTTACATGCACATGCTTCAAGTTAGCGGTAAGGCCAAGACCGACTTTGCATTTCCCAACTCCCATCGATAGTGGAAATAATCGATTTTTTTTTTTTGTGCTTCTCTGGCAGTTTTCATGTAGTTTGCAGCCATTTTCTACTGGCCAGAGTGAGAGCCTATAGCTGGCTGCCAATAATAGGCAGGAAGATTCTATTGGCCAGCGTGAGAGTCAACAGCTGACTGACACGAATGTTAGCTAGCATGCAAAAAAAATCCATAGCTGCATTTGTCACAAGTGGGAAAAATTTAAATCTGCATGGCACTTTACTCCAGTTGGCTCATTAAACTTGCTTAAACTCAACGTTGATTCTGATTCCATGAAACTGGGTTGGGTGTGAAAATGTATTTGTTGTTAACATTCTTTTTTCATTCGGTTTTTACAGTTACGAGTCCTTTTTTAAAGCTGATCGGTTTGTGTTCATTTTATTTAGTTCTTTTTTCATAACAGATTTAATGTTTAGTATAGAGCTTAGAAAAAATTTGCAGTGTGAGATAGGCAAGAAGTAAGGCATGCAGCAACATCAGCACAGCAAAGGGCACTCCTTTAAAGGCAAGGAAGGGCAAAAATATTTTAAGTCAAGTAATAGTGATTGCTGTATGAGTTGTATGATTTTTTAATCAAGCACGGGCAACGCCAGGCCATGTTGCTAGTGTATATATATATATATATATATATATATATATATATATATATAAATATATATATATATATATATAATGTGTGTGGTGGACTCTCCTATTGTGAACAATAAATGAGTGTCAAGATTGGTTGGTGCCTTTCGTTTTACACTTATGCATGCTAGCAGTGGCTATTGTGAAGAAAATCAAGTAAGGGAAAGACATTTCATTTATGCTTTCTAACCCAGCCTTGCTGTGGGTGACAGATGAAATTTGTTAAAGCAGCATTTTGATGGCATCTCTGCTTCAGAGCTTGATGAAGCTGATCATGGTGCTTCAGTCTACTGTCTTCAAAATCCTTTAACTTAATGAAACATGTCCTATGGCACTTCTTTCAGTTTGATGCTTGGGTTTCCCAGGTTTTCAGATCAAAGTTGAGACATTTCAATTTGTCTTTGTAGTGTAAGAATGGATGTCCAACTAAACGCTTGGAGTTTGGTAGTTGTCCATACAGCACCTTTTTTGGAAGTCTATGCTCATCCATTCTCACAACATGACCAGCCCACCTAAGTTGTATCTTTGCTAGAATGATTTCAGTGCCTGTGATGTTGTTACATTTCTTCAGCATAGCACTATTCCTAACCCTGTCATCCCATTTTATATCATGTATGGCACAAAGACAGTGCATGTGAAAGGCGTCAAGTTGATTTATGTGCTTGTGGTACAGGGTTCAAGTTTCAGCATCATAGAGAAGGGTTGAGAGAACGACAGCTCTGTATATGTCGATCTTTACCCGGAGAGATATGTCTTTGGTGTTCCTTAACCTATGTTTAAATTTACCAAATGCTGTTCTGGCTTTGACTATTCTGGATTGGATTTCTCTGATATATTTACAGTGTGTAAATTGTTGCTATTCTATATTTTAATTTCACACACGTGCATTTGTTTTTGATTTTGGTAATAACTTGCTGTACTGCTTGGTAATACACACATTTCAGAATGTTTGGGTGTCAATCTGAGGGCAGTGCAGAAGATTCAGAAAGAGTTGGATAAGTCTAATGGTGATTATGAACGTGTTTGGAGTGATCACTAATGATGGTGACATTATACCTCCACTTGTCTTCTCACATGGCCTCACACTCAGTATGGAAGCCTACATCAAATGCTTTGAGATAGTGCTGCCCTGGTTCAAGATGGTGGCTGCTGGAAGACCCTATATTTGGCAACTGGACACTGCACCATGCCATACAATCAGGAGAACTCAGTCATGACTGTCTGACATTTTCCCTTTATATCTGGCCACCTAACTCCCCAGGCTGTAACCCACTTGATTATTATGTGTGGAGTGCAGTTGAATGAGAACCTGACAAAACACCTTGTTAACCAAAGATAAACTGAAGGCAAGGATTTTGCAGCATTCACCAACTTAAACAAGGAGGCTGTCCAGAAGAGTTGCAGGAGATTCTGAAGTTGTCTGGAGGTCATAGTTGAAGCCACTGGCAATTTTATTCAATAAATTTACTCTTTATTTCAAGATATTTTAATATACTTTTGGTAAAATGAGATATCGGTGTTATTTTCATTTTTTGCATAATTTAGATGACAATTTATCTATCGCACCCAGTATATATGGTTTTTTAAGTGAAGATTACTGGGTGTGGCATATACTATGCCAATTCAAATAATTTAATAAATAATGAGAGAAAACTAATTCATCAGCAGTTGTTTGTTATTTCAGTTTTACCAATATTATTGTAGATAGTGTACATATATGACCTAAATATTTTCTGTGTTGCATGGTTTATTTTATTTTGCAATTTGTTCTATTATGTTATTTTAACCATAATTCTGTGTGTGTATTTTTTTAAAAGAAAGATGTGTTGTCTCTTCTATAAAAAAAAATGCATTATTCTTAAATCTATTTGCATTTGCTTGTTTGAATGTTTACAAAAGCCTATATTAATGAAATTAGATTTTTACTGTTCTTGTATTATTTCAAACTATTGTTCTCATCTTAATTATATTATAGATGTTATTACAGACACATTTAGATCAAGTACCCTCCTGTTATCATCAGGTGTCTATTGATTGTTGCCACGTTTTGACCTTGTGGTATCAGTTATTGTTCATTCCTGCTGAATTTGTACTTCACTACCAGATTCAAGGATTGAACTTCTGATCACTAGATGAACCTTAGTGTTTTTTTTTCATTAGACTTTTATGTTCAATGTCAGATGCTTTTTAATTTTTAGTTATAATGGTGGGTTCATACCATTTTTCATAATTGTAATTGTCAATATCTTGTATTATTTTGACCTATTGTTCTCATCTTGGTTGATATAAATATTATAGACACATTTCCACCAATTACCCTCTGGTCATATATATAAGATGAGAACAGCAGTTTAAAATAATACAAGAATTTTCACAATTACTCATTTTATAAATGGAATGCTAAAAGATCTTTTACTTTTGTAAAAACAAAAAAACAAAAAACTACTTAAAAAAAATAAATTAAAAAAAAATGTATTTGCTATTAATTAGCAAGAACTTTATTTGCATATAACTTTTTTTTATAACTGATGGTATAGTTTTGTTTGTTTTTCCCCAAATTCTTTGATATTTGTAATTTGTTCTTTATTTCCTGATTAATGGAGTACGGTTTTCATTTTCAGCATTTTACCTGTACAAGTTGAGATACTAAGATTTAACAACATATGCTCATAACATGTGGCTATCATTTATGAGTGTAAGACAGATAAAAGTGGAATGGGTTTTATTTGAGGTCTTTTTTTTTTTTTTTTTTTATTGCACTAAACTGGTTGCTACTAACTCTGGAACTCAAATTGGCACATCCACATGCAACTGTCGTGATTTGGATATTTGAAGAATGATACATTAAAATAATACAAATATATCGATAATGACAAACATCTTTGATATTTAGCTATATCCCCCTTCTATTATATAAATTTAAATCTCTTAGTATTAGAACTTTACTATATTAACTATCTATTTAACTGTTTTGGCTTTGTATATGGGATGCCATGTAGAAGTGCATTGGTTATAATTTGGCCTATGCTTTCTCAAAGAATATGAATCTTATATGATCATGAGGATTAAAAATCATAGAGATTTAGCTGCTTAAATGCTTTCCATTTCTAAGTGTAACAATTGTTTTACCACAGCCAGTCTGCTATTTCACTTAATTTTTGTAAGTGTGTGCATATTAGTTATTGAGTGTAGATCTCAAGCTGATAGGAGAAAATTATAGTACTCATAGCTATTAATTTAATGGTTAAACAATTACAGAGCTTATTCATTCTTACTTTATATCAAAATGTATATCAGTACATATCAATTTAATCTTGGTCATTTGAAGGGCAATACTTATTACTGTTAATACAGCAATTTTGATGATGGCAGACACAGAACATGACAATCATTACTTCTATTGGGTAGGAAAGAGAACTGTTCAAAGAACTATTGTATGATTGTTTTTCTTTATCATACAAATTACCTGTTGCTTTGTATTGATTACAGTTTAATGCATATACATCTATCCTCCTTCCCACCACACCTATCTCCCTCCTCTCTATAATGTGAAACATTATGTGCCATGATTTCTTATTGGCTCTAAGAAATAGTTTTAGATTTATTTGCCCTTCCAGTTCTAGAAATTTGACTGGATCCTCTAACTTGAGAATAAATTTACCAATATTGTTTCAGCCACCCGGATGAGTGAACGTGATGAATACATTACACAGTTTGATCACAGTCTCTTCTTGAGAGGTTATAGTTTGGTGCTATCAACAGGGAGAGCGGCCTTTGTTTTTTCATTGGCTTCCCAGAATGATAACAATGTAAGTCATTATTTTCTTTCTTTCCCTGTCCACCCATTCAATATGAAAACTGTTTTTCATTTGTCTGGCCCTGTTGTGTTTTTTTCTCTTTTTTTATGCATGCATTTTTTTTCTGTCTTAAATATTCACTTCTCAGCTTAGACCTAAAGGTTCAAATGAAACTGTCCTGTTTTAAATTAAGTTAAAATAAAATGTAAAATTATACCCCTTAAATTGTTAGTTAAGTTTTTAATACGATTCGAAGAATTGTTGTTGGAAATAATTTTATTCTGAGAGAATGCCTATGATTTGCATTTGATTTATATTTCAGTCAATGTGTTTTGCCATTGTCAGTTTGTATATATAAAAATACAAACTTTTATTTCAAGAATATTGTTAACAAGAGAAGTTTATTTGTATTGATAATAAAGATAGCTCCTAATATTTTCATAAAGATCAATTTTCAATAATTGAATGGCAGTGTTTCCTTAAATATAATTTCTTTTAAATCTCATTAGTTTTTAGCTGCATTTTTTGCTTTAAATCTTAGAAATTTCTTTTTGTTGTACATAAAGAATGAAGTATTTTAAACCAACAATTGTTTTCTAGTTATCACTACAAAATCATTTGATAATTAGAAAGATATGTATAAACATATCTTTCTAATTAAAAAAACTGGGTTCATGTCTAAATTATTTTGAGTTTATTTTCTAATTAGTTACATAAAATTTTGTAATATTGAAGCTGTAAGTAACATTGTGAACATAGTAACTAAAAACCTCTTAACTGAGGAAAACTAGGAAAACACTATTTGCTTATAATATTAAGTTCATTTCAGCATTTAATAAAATGGTGTATAAACTATAGATTGACAAATGAGTATGGTAAAATATCAGATAATATAAAAATGGAATATGTAAAAATGGATTTAAAAAAAAAATTAATATTTTACTACTTTGTGAACATTTTTAAAATACCAATGAAAACTCTAAGAAAAAGTTGTTACTTTAACAATTTTGCTATAAAAACTGTTGTGATAGTAGGTAGGAAAGTGTTGTAAAATTTATTTCTTTACATGTACCTACTTCCTCCACCTACTTAATCTACGCTATTAAACTTGCAGTTGTCCAAAAAGTTGCCTGGGGAACTAATGTAACTTATCCTTTTGTATCATTCCAGCATCACATGTCTCATAATAACCATTTTAAACAAAGCACTATAATAATGAACATTGTCATAATGCAGTAGATTGTTCTTATTTAATTAGAGGTTGTCAATAACATATACAGTTTTTGAGAAATGATTGGTAACTTAATTCATTGTCCATTTAAAAGATGATGAAATTTAAATCCAGTAATAACACAAATAAAAATAAACTATAAAATGCTGTAAATTTTCTAATAAGCAGTTTGAATTTTTTTTTTTATTTAAGCTTTTATTTCAAGTCCATGTATGAATTTAGTACATGCTGACAATATATGATTGTATTTTAAATCTAAAGAAAATGTCTTAAACAAATGTAAATATTTTTATTCTTTTAAGAGGCCTCAGGAAATTATAGCTTTTTAACTCCTTTATCTGTTGATGACAAAAATTTCTGTTATTGAAGTTGGATGACTGTTATGAATAACAGAAATTTCTGCTGTATTTAATATTTGTTAAAATAAAAACAAACTTGCCGAGTTCAAGATGATATAGAATCCTTACACTGCAGTTAGCCTGGCATTTAAAATACCCGCTTGACAGTGATAAACAACTTTCGCATGATTTCTGTCTGATTTTCCGGAATGAGGAGTTATTATTATTTACATGTGGACTAATATCCTCATTTTTATCATCACAACTTTTCTGCCATTGTGCCCTCTCACTTTCTTCAAGTGTTAGTCAATCTTGATAACTTTCAGGAAATTTTGAAGTGAACATATGTAATCTACAGGTTTGGACAATTTTTATAATACAAAGGTGATCTGATGGAATCGGTACATACTAGACTATGAGAACCTCTTGAACGATCAGTTTGAAATTTCCTGATGGCTACCTCGATTAACATACACAAGAAAGCCGGAGAGTGCAATGGCTGAAACATGATAATAAAAATAAATATATTAGTCCAAATGCAAATCATTTTTACATAATGATAAATAATTTATGCTTATTTGATTTTTAATTTTGTATGAAATGTGTGGATGGAGGATGTGGAATCATTAATTTTTTTTTTTTTTTTTAACTTTGAAAAACTTGATTTTGTTTAGATTTTAGAAGGAATTAACTCATTTATTGGCTTTGTTATCAAATCTTATGGTAGATAAAATTATTATAGCATTTAAATATTGCTGATTTAGCACGGGGTTTTCAAAAATTGCCCAATACATGTTGCTTTTTACAATCTGTGTTCTTCAAATTTATTTGTAGATAATCTCTTGGGAAGAAAACATATGTTCACCTTTGTTAATTTTCTTTGAACATTTTTGAAACTCTGGGATTTTTTGATTTTTGTGCTATGGATCAATGATATTAATTGAGACTTAAGTAATAAATGTTAAATGCTTTCATTATTTAACATAATTATGGTACTCTTATATCTTAGATTTTTTTTTAAATTTATAATTTAGGTCTTAATACTCTAACCACTAAGTTTGGGACTTCTGTTAGCTTACATTGAGTTTAATGTCAATGTGCAAAGTTACACCCAAACTAATAATAGTTAGGAAATGCAACATGAATCCATATACTTTTTGATTAGTTTTTATAATTTGTTTATTTTCCTTTCTAAATCATTTTCCTTACACATATGCAGTCATAATGTATTTAATTACTTTCAATTGATAGAGAAGGACTTTTTTTCATTTTTACTCTTCTTGCACAATGTTTATAAAGTTACATAAATAAATCTTTTGGTGGGTTTTACATTATTTACATTGTTCAGATTGTTGATCTCATCTTTATTGTCATGTTCACAACATTTCGGATTTTGTATGCTCTGGCCTTATTCAGGTGACTGGGGGCCACTTGAGGTAGAGGGTTACATTAAGAGGCAGTTTTTGTGGATAGAAGATAATGATTAACCCCAGACTTGAACAGGTTAAAATTATAGTGATCAAGGGAAACATCCTCTTGGGAGTTAGTTCCACAGTGCAGTGGTTTGTGGGAAGAAGCTGCTCAAGGAACTTGCTTCTTACCAGTGGAATACAGGAGGAATGTGGATGGTTTGCTATAATGTGAATGGCTTGCGAGTCATTGCCATAAAGGTTAGAAATGGTGAAAACCAAGGAATGTCAGAGTACTTTCCATGGAAGTAGCAATAGAGCTGTGTGAGGCTTGCCACATCCTTCCTGTGTGAGAGAGAGAGGTGGAAAATAATTTGTCACTTTTTGTACTCTATTGAGACTGGAGAGGTGAGTACTGAGCAGCCCTCACCCAAATATGACAACAGTACTCTGTTTTTGGTCTGATCTGGCTCTTCTAAAGCTCAAGGATAGCATGTGGCATCAGGTACTTACTAGAGTGGTATAGGGAGCTGACCATTTTTCCAGTATCTTTTGCAGTGGATTGTATGTACGAGTTCCACTTGAGGTCAGGTGTGAGTTTGTCTTAATAGTTTCTCAAAGCATGGAGCCTCCCTGAGGGGACAGCCATTCATTGATACTGGTGATAGTTCGGAGTTAGATTGGCAATGATGGAATGCAACTAGTTTGTTTTTCGAGTCATTGAATGTAACCATCCAACTAGATCAAATGAGAGATCAATTGCCAATCTCTGATCATCTGAGAATTTTAGAAGTACACCTGTATATCATATCATTGGCATAAACGTTCACAAATTATCTCAGTATATACTTAGGCTTTATCATTTATATAAAAGAAAAAGAGGGTTGGTTCCAGAAGTGACCCCCAAGGGATGCCTATGTTGACCGCCAAGGCACTAGAGGACTACCTTTAGGGACTTACTCATTAGGAAGTACTTTATAATTAAGACTTCTGGTGATCCTATAGTTGGAGAGCTTGAGCAGCAAACCTTTGTGCCACACCTTTTCAAATACAATTTGAAATATTTAATGCTATGATTCTCAAGGTATGTTTGTTGTTAAGAGTCTCTCTCTGTGAATAATGGTAGTCAGGACATCAACAGTAGATTGGTTGATCAAAACCTGTCTTGCTTGCCACTCAAGAGGTTGTTCTTATCTAGGTACTTGATGACCTTGTTGATTATAGCTTCAAAAAGCTTACTTATGAGGAGACTGATAGGTCTATGCTGGGTGCAGGAAGATCTCTTGCCCCCATTCGTGAAGACTGGGCATATGCTTGACACTTTCCACAGGCTTAGTAAGGATAGTTCCGATTTGATATTCTTAAGGACAGCCACTGGAATTTTGTCTTGGCTAGTGGCTCTTCTTAGGGTCATGGCTTCTGATAAGTCTTGAAACTTCTCTTACTGTAATGATAATATTACTGAGATTGTGCTCAGTGGGAAGTTTGGAAGGGACTGACCTTTGTCATCTAATGTTGAGTTCATGGCAAAGAACTTCACTTTGTCTGCTGATCAAGATATAACCTTAGGGACATTTACAATGGTGGGCACAGCCATATTGCCTTATTAATCTTTTATTTGTTTCAATAGCTCTTTTTATTCTTGTATCATTTTCTGTTCTTAGTAAAGAGATAGAAGAAATATCCTCCAGAAAGGAGGTTTGTGTGCATATGTATTTATTTATATTTTCTGTTTCTTCTCATTTTTCTCTTAATACTTGGAGGTAAAGTGATTATCAAAATAAAGAATGAACATTTTTATGAATTAAAATTTGTTATCTTATGGTATTTTAATTTTTTTTCATTAAAGTTTTTTTTTAAATAAAGGTCAAATAAGTCTGAATGCTACTAAAAAAAATAGTAAACATTGTATCTTTTCTCAACTTCAAGTATTTTTAATTTTTATTAATATAAAAATACATAAAATTTACTTTTCCTTTTGTTACTGATTTACAGTTTTTAAATAATTATTACACATGCATATACTTTTCTTCATTTAAAAAAAAAAATCAATAAATGAACAATTTCAGAAACATTACTTTTGTTTTATATACAGTAAGTCTTTTTATCTTGGGATGTATTAATATTGTATTTTAATTTGAAATTCTAAAGAGCTTCTCTCTTGTCTCAGCATCATATGCTCTTCAGAACAATAATGGCTTTGCTCAGATTCTCTATTTTTATTATCTGTTAATTGCCATGACAGTAAAATGGTTTCCCATTACCTTGTCCATAGCTCTGAATTTGACTTTTCTTTCTCATAGCCTGGGATGCTTCCAAGGCTTGAGAGCTTGGTCTACTTTACTATCTAACCTAGGTACCTCCACGAGATCGCTAAAAAATGAGCATTGCATGATGAAAAAGACACCAAATTTGATAACAAAATTTTATCATCTAAATGTTTGTTATTATTAAGAGGAAAGATTAATTAAAGTTTATTTTAATTATTTAAAAAATTTTTTTCCTTCTTTTTAGAACAATCTGAATTTTCATTTAAAAATCCTTGTTTCTCTTTGTATCACCAGAACTAGTAAAATAACAGATACAATTTTTAGCATGTTTTTTTGTATGACATTAATTTGGAAAATCTTGCAAAAATAAAAATAATTGTCGGATGTTAATGAAACTTTCAGAAACTATTCACAGATGATCGAAATTATTATAAATATGTTTTCTTTTATTAAAGTCATGGCAGAATTTTTTTTTTTTTTATATTTATTACCTCCCTCATAACTAATTTTATGAAAACTTTAGAAATTCGATCAAGTCTACTTTAGTAATTACAATAGTTAAAAACACAAGACTTTGAGGAATGCAAACAGTTTTTTTTTTTTGTTTTTAATTCCCCCCCCACCTTAAAATCAGCTCTGAATTGTAACCTACAAAACTCAATAAAACAAATATATTATTTAATTTCAAATGCTTTTATTTGCTTTTATGAATATGGATAATATTTTCTGAAAGCAAAAAAAGATTTTTGATGAAAAATGAATTTATAATACAATTATTTGTTATTTTTTAATTATAATAGATTTTTACATTTAAGTTGTTAAAATATTATAAAATTAGTTAAAAACCACATCCACTTTCGTAAGTGTCCTTATGAGATAGATCTTTTTTTAACGTGTTGTAGATTGTATTGTTTTAACTAATCAGAAGACCTGCAGTAATTAAGAAATGTAATTTTGTGTTTATAATCGGGCTCTAATTATAAAGTACGGAAGACCAGCCAGAATACAATAAAGTTGCATTATTTGAGTTAAGCATTGTTCTCTGCTGTTAAGGCCTTTACTTTTGTGAAACATGAGTGGAGAAGTTTATTTAATTTTTCAGTTTCAACCAAGAAGGGTACCTAAAAGTATCAGTATCATCTTATGAAATTTATATGATCTTATTTTTATATTAATCTCAGTTATGGCATTTTTTCCATAAATGAGATATCAAAATTAATAATAAAATGAATGGAAATACAAATAACACAGTAAAATGTAGTAAATTTTATCAGAAGTGTACATAAAATTATAGTATTTTATGTACACTTCTGATAAAATTTCATAAGAAAGGTACCTATAAATTAATTAGATACCTTTCTTATGAAATTTAATCTCACTCTTAACAGTCTTATTTTAATTTATTTATAATATATTTTCTATAAAGCATTGTAAACGTAAAGGTGAAAGCTAAGTACAAAAAACAAAGAAAAAATTAGAGCGCTGAAAGTTTTCCTTAAAAATAACGAGGTAAATAATTTGTTCACTTAAATGTAAATAATTTCACTTTTCTCCTTCTGTAGAATAAATTATCCTCATGGAATCCGTCAATATGTCATTCATCACCTATCAAGTGACGCGAAAGTTTATGACCTGCTTTATTTTATTTTCAAATTACATATTTTCAGCGCAGAATCTAAGTTAAGCTTGTTTCAAAATATTTTAAATAAACATAATTTCTGATTTTCTTAAAATAAGTTTTGAAAAAATTATAATTGATTTTTAAAAGAATTTGAAACTGAGATTTTCATTTTTTTTAAAAATGGAGAAAAAATGGTTGCCATCTGTCAATTTTGCTGACTCAAAAAAAAAAAAAAAATTTTAACGAAAATTTTGGACATGCTAGGAAGGATTAAAAAATGTAAAAAAATACCCCCAAAATACTTTGATCTTTCCTCCTAATAACATAAACATTTAGACAATAAAAAATTTTGTTTTCGTCAAGTTTGGCATCTTTTTCATCATGCTATCCTCTTTTTTTAGCGATCTCGTGGAAGTACCTAATCTAACCTTTTTAGTTGGAAAAGTAGGAGACTATATCCAAGAGCATTAGTGCAAAAATTAACAAAGTGGGATTTTGATCTTGGCTCACCGATTCTATTTTCACCTGCACATACAATCTAAAGACATACTCATTGTATTGATATTTACTTTTATATCAGGTTATAAAGTTTAACCATACCATCTACGTAACATCTAAATATATAAACTTAAAGACTCAAATTATTTGAGATTTACGTTACATTTTATTTTATTTAATGTTATTTAACTTGAAATCCAGATAATTTTATGCTTACTTAAGGTTTTACTCTAGTTTTATCCAGCTAGTATTGTGATTTGGTAACAGAAGCAGATTTTTCTGATTTCACAAATAATTATATATAATTTTTTTCCCCAAAAGATGATGCTCTGATGATCTATTCTCTGGCCTTCATCATGTGTATTGACTCTATATGCAAAGAGAGAATCTCAATGTATTATATGAAGGTATTCTTAAGTCTGAATTCTATTCTTTCCTTGTTAAACAAAGAAAATCACAAGGTGTGATGATTTTTTTTTTTTTTTTTTTAATATACTTGTTGACAATATCAAAAACACAAAGGAAATTTTATTGAAAAGAAGTAGTTGTAATGTTAAAATATATTTGTTTCAGAAAATGTTTTCAGTTATTTTTTTCCTTCAACATTCTTAACTTTTTTTTTATATTTAAATTTCTTTTGTGTGGATGGAAATGTAAAATAAACCTAATTTACAGTAGTCTTTTTTTATATGAACAGTTTGGCTAAACTGATAAGGTTTGAGTCTCAAATTCTCCTGATAAGGCATAAAAGTGGCATTTTAGTATTAAACTTTGATTACATTAAGACAATTTAGGAAATTCTTAATTTGATACTTTTGCAACTCTTATCAATGAAATATGAAGGTCTTTGAACAGTATATCATTAGAGATCAGGCATATACACCTCAAAGATTATAACATTTTCTTTTTTTTTTAATTTCTCCTTTGTTAATGAAAAAAAAAACAATTTATGTTTACTAATTATTTTCCCCTCTTGTTTCTTATCCAGCATCGTGGTATCTGGGCAAGAGAATTGACAGATGCTGTTTGTGTAGATATTAATCACAGATATAGACTTCTTGCTTTTGGCTGTGCCAGGTAAGTTTACATCTCCATACTTTGAGATGGGGTGTACTTATCTAAATAAATAAAACTCTTACTCTCTTGATAATTAATGTATACCTCTTCTAGATGTATCTGTCCTTAATATTCAGACAGTTTCTCAATATTTTTCAGGAATTCATAAATGAATGTTAATTTAAGGCTGTAATAAAATGTATGCATATTGAGAATGGATACTCTAAATGTGTAAGCAACTTGTTTTAAATAAGTTTGATTGAATTTGTTCAGTATTTTAACATATTTATAAAATTAAATTAAATATTATCTATGTAAACTAAGTTTGGTTCTAAAATTTGTATATTATCTCAATTTTTTTTTTTTTTTTTACTTTAACACATAAAATATTTTCTGACTGTAATTGGTTGTCTCTTTTTCTGTTATAAATTTTTAAAATGAATATCATTTGGTTGACTGTTTATTCAATATATGAATATCAGAAGATAGATTTTATTTATCTAAATATTCACCATTGGATATATTATTATTTTTTGCGGGGGAGGGGGGTATCTGTTTTACTCTCTTTTGAAAAATAAATCAATATTATAGAATTCCACTTTGTAAAAAAAAAAAAAAAAAAAAAAAAGAAGTCTTTAATAACATACATGCTAAAATCACAGAAAACTAATTTTTACTGGATATAACATACATATTAGAAAAGTAAAACTGGGATTTAATACAGATTTGCATCTATACACTGCTTGTTAATTGGCTAATTTCTTTGGAAAATCTAATTTCTTTACCAAGATGATTTATCATTAATTTCTTTTATATGTAATACAAGGACAATGTCTCTTTTGTTTATAACTGATTTATTGGATTCAGGAAGATTTATTGGAAGTAAGCAGTCTTTCTACTGTATTGTCTTGTAAACTATATCTTATAATTTCCTCTTTCAGTGGTGAAGGAGTGGTATATTCTTTTGATGAAATTGTAGGTGCCCTTGAAATTTCACATCGCTTGCAGGTGTCAAGCAAAGATTACCCAGGTAAGTAAATGATAATTGTTTGTTTGTTTGTCTTTTTTCAAGTTTGATACTTGTAAATATTTTTTTAAATTTCTTTTGGACTTCTTACATATGAAAGAAACTAATGTTATAATTAACTTGTATTCAACAGATGCAAACATCAAATCATATGACACTGAATATTTAAATCAATTCTTATACTGGAGTTAGTTTTCCTGTTAATAGTTCAATATTTGACAAGAGTTGGTGGTCATTGCTCAACTCTGGAAAAAGTTTCTTTGCTTGTCATTATGAATTGAATATATAAAGAGCCTAAAAAGATTGTGTTGTTTTACCAATTTAAAATATAGAACAACTGAAATGCTAATTCTGTTAACTGTTTAGTTTTGTAACATGTGTTATATGATTGTCATTTGCTAACCATTATCACCTCTAGCATTTTAATGTAAAAGATAAAAAAGAGCATGCAACTAAAAATTTAACTTTTATATGGTGCTAATCATTATAATTAGCAGAGAGCTTGCCTTATAATACAATATACATACTGGAAACAATATTTATTTTAACAAATGCAAACATAATTTGATCTTGTAACTTGAGTATATTGTAATAGGTTTTAAAACACTTTTTATCTTATTTTTATTTAACTAAATTTTAACCTTATTACAAGATATTTTCTATCTGTCCATTCACGATATTTAGAAATAATTAAAATGCTTTAAAGATTTGGATGATCAAAAATGTCTAGTAAATTCTGAAGATTTGTAATTCATTTATTCTTCTATTGTATAATGAGCTTAGAGATTTGGTAAAAAGTTTTTGTTTCTTTGTTTTTTGTTATTACTTTGTTTCTCATAACAGTAACAATTGATATTTGGATATTTTTATACATATTATAAAATACTTAATCTTTGACTGTAGATAGTTTTTTTTATTTTTTTTATATTTTGTCTTATCTCACCCAATCCCCCAAATAGTTTATTAGTTGAGTATGAGAAGTACTCTGCAGGCAAAGAATTAAGGCCACCCTGTATTTATTTAAAAACACCTTAAAATGAGAGATTTTTTTTCTTTATTAAGTAGAAGATAAAATTTCAGTAATTACAGTGTATCTGCTTTTATTTCTCAGTCTTTCTTCAGACTGTTCTTATTACCAAAAAGTTCAAATTTGGATTTGTCTGGCCACAATACATTTTGCTAAATTATGAATATTTTATGAGAAACATTTTGTTTTCACCATTTGCCACTCAGTAGACGTTTTGAGATTACCAAAATTTTTAACTAAGTTAAATGCTATTACAGATTCTAAATGTTAACTCGGCACAAACTAATGCTGTAAACAAAACATATGTAGGTCACTGAAGAAAAAAAGATTGTTCCATTTTTTTGTGTTCATAGATTGTTCCATTTTTTTGTGTTCATAGATTGTTCCATTTTTTTTTTTTTTTTTTTTAATTTTGAAGTAATTTGTGCAAAATCAAAGCAGCTAAGAATTGAGGTTAGGGCACAAATTGAAATTTCATTCAAAGGACTATACTCTCACAGACAAATTACCAAGAAGTTGAAGATTTCTAGACATGGGAGTGCAGTATTTGTTATAAAAGCGGTTAGAAACTGGGCTTAAATGTTGACAGAAAAAGAGCTGAAGCACCAAAAGTGACAACTACTTACCTTCATAAAAGTTCAATGATAATTCTTCTGCTATTTAATTTAAAGACAGATTGATGTGCATAGGTCCTTACTTTCTGAACAAACAATTATTTTTATTTCATGGGTGGCTTTTGCTGAATTTCGCAATTAATTTTGATTATTCCCATATTTCCAAGTTATAAAAATTATTATTGGATAAAAAATAATTTGTCACAAAAAAATCACATAAAAAAATTGCTGAAAACAATTACAGTAATGAAAAATTGGGAATCCAAAATTTCTGTAACATGAGCTATTGAAAGTTAGAGAGTTGTGTCCCTTTTTAATGAAAAAAGTGTGACACTGACATTCACATTTATTATATAGAAGATTTAATATTTGGTTGTTGATATTTATTTTCACTGTTTCTCACGTTTTATTACTATAATTATTCACTATTACATTTTCTGATGTACACTGTTTTTAAATAATAAAAAAAGTAAGATATGTAAACCAATTTTTGTCATTATTGTCAAAACAAAGATTTAATTTTTGTATTGTTGGTTTGTCTATTTTCTCCAGATGCTGGTGGAATCGTAGGGGCCGTGTCATGTATGAAGTGGACACCTGATGGCACTGCTATTGCTATATGTTGGGAACAAGGTGGCTTTTCTTTGTGGAGTGTTTTTGGTGCTCTTCTTGTTTGTACTTTGGGTGGAGATTATTGGTAAGCTGCTTTCAACTTTACAATTCTTATGAAGAATGAAAAACAAAGCCTATTTTCACAGAACATTTTTGTTTCAAAATTGGAAATTAATATTAAATTATAAATGGTACAATTAGAAATGGACCTAGTGAACAAAACTTGAGTGTTGAGTTAAAGGGAGATAACTGAGATCTGGAAGAGGAATGGTATGTGGAACTAGAACAATCTACCCTGGTGGATGAAATAAAGGGTTTGGTTTGAAATTCCATATAATGGCTGAAATGTGAATATGGCAATAAAGATAAGGACAACAGTCCAAACAATGTAAATAATTACAGTACCTCATCTCAGAAATATAGACATATATAGAAATGAGAGTATTAAAAATCTGTTTTTTAATCCCTTATGTACTGCTAATTGAACTTATTGTGAGTTTTTCCTCCCTTTGTCTATTATAAATATTTAAAAATTATAATTTATGAAATTTTTGCCCTCCCTTGTGAATTTAGAAAACAATGTAAACATTATGTAATGCTCTTCATGAGTAACTAATTTTTTAAAATAATCATGAATTGAAAAAATTCAGTTTGTAAAGATAAAGTGGAATTTCTTATCAGATTGTCTCCAACTTTTTTCTGTGTTAAAGTATATATATATATATACCTTCATGAGATCATTAAAAACAGAGCATAGCATGATGAAAAAGACACCAAACTTGACAAAAACAAAATTTTAGTGTCTAAATGTTTATCATTAAGAGGAAAGATCAAAGTATTTTTTAATTATTTTTAAAAACTTTTTCCTTCTTTTTAGAACATTCTAAATTTTGATTAAAAAAACTTTGTTTCTCTTTGAATCACCAGAACTAGTAAAATAACGTATAAAATTTTAGCAGGTTTTTTTCTGTATGACAGACATTAATTTTGAAAATCTGGCAAAAATAAAAATAATTGTCAGATTTTAATGAAACTTTCAAACCCAATAACTAATTGTACGAAAACTCTATAATTTTATTTTTAGGAATATTAGTGATTATAAAATTCAGTAAAACAAAAATATTATTTAACTTCAAAAGCTTTTAATTGCTTTTATTTATTTTAATGAACATGGACATTATTGTTTGAAAGCAAAAAGATATTTCGATGCAAAATGAATTTTTAAAACAATTATTTGTTATTTCTGAAATATTTTATTATTTTTACATTACATGTTGTTAATTCTTCTAAAATTAGTGAAAAGTTTGTAAAATTTAACGAATGTTGTTATTAAGTAGATATATATTTGCAGATTATAATTTCCAAAGCTTCTTACAAGCTAACAAACACCAGTATATAAAAAATATATAATTTGTGTCAATAATAAGACTGTAAATCAAATATACGGAAGACTGGAAGTATCATGCGTACAATAAAAAAAATGTCACGTGAATTGAGTTTCTGTCTAGTATTTAACTTAAACACTTAATTTTTAATACAATTATTTGCTATTTCTTTAATTATAATAGATTTTTACATTTAAGTTGTTAAAATATTATAAAATTAGTTAAAAGCTGCATTCAGTTTCGCAAATGTCCTTTTGAGAAGATTTATTTTTGCGAAACATGTGTGGAGAAGTTAATTTGATTTTTCAATTTCAACTGAAAAGAGTACCTACAAGTATCGGTATCATCTTATGAAATTTAAATTTGTATTTTATGTACACTTCTGATAAAATTTAATAAGAAAGGTACCTATAAATTAATTAGATACCTTTCTTATGAAATTTAATCTCACTCTCAACAGTCTTATTTTAATTTCTTTATAATATATTTTCCATAAAGCATCGTAAATGCAAAGGTGAAAGCTAAGTACAAAAAAAATTAGAGAGCTGAAAGTTTTCCTTAAAAATAACGAGGTAAATAATTTGTTCACTTAAATCTAAATAATTTCACTTCTCTCCTTTCATAGAAGGGATCACCTGTCAAGTGACGTGAAAGTTTATGACCTGCTTTGTTTTATTTTCAAACTACATCTTTTTGGCACAGAAACTAAGTTAAGCTTGTTTCAAAATATTTTAAATAAACATTATAATTTCTGATTTTCTTAAAATAAGTTTTGAAAAAATTGATTTTTAAAAGAATTTCAAACTGAAATTTTCAATTATTTTTTTATAAAATGGAAAAAAAATGGATGCCATGATTGATTATCTGTCAATTTTGCTAACTAAAAAAAACAAGATTTTAAAAAATGTAAAAAAATGAAGGTATATATATATATATATATATATATATAATCTTTCCTTACAGATTGCATACCTGAAAAAATTTGTACAATAAATTGGTTTAATGTGGTAACAATGAGTTCAATATTTTGGACAATATTTGCAATGGTTTTTGACCGCAGATCAAAGATTACTAGAGTTCGTTCACAAATACTTGGTTTTGTAAAACCTTAAAACATATTTGTTACTGAATATTTGTTTTCTTGCTTTAAGTACTTCATCTCTTCTTTTTTTTTTTTTATATTTTTATAAAGTAGAATTATTATGAAAGGAAAATATCTATGGAAAATCATTTCTTTAAATGTAAAATGTAAAGATAAATGAGTATGAAATCTACGATACTAAACAACTGTGTATTATTTTAATTTTAGGTTCCCCAAAGCTGGTAGTCATTTGTATCCTTCTCCTGTCCGTTCTATGGTATGTATAGTTCTCTTAAGATGTTTATATTTATTAAACCATGAAATTGCTTAAATGAATTCTGTATGAAGAGTCTAGCTCACCAGCTCAATATGTTTATTATATTTTTGAGTATATTTACTAGATAAGAATACTTTCCTTAAACATGTATATAGTATCTTTGGATGCTATCTATGTGATAAGTAGGAGTTCATTTCGATGTTAGTTAACAGAAATATGTATCTTATGTCATAATGTGGTTGAGAATCCTTTTTATATTTTTCTCTTTAAGAGTGCTTTGAAAAATATAAAAATCTTAAAAAAATAATTGTAAAATATTTTACCGAGTAAGCAAAATTTATCTGACTTCTCTTTTTTGAAGTTTTAAGATTCATTATTCTATGTATAAGGCCTCAAGAAATGGGTAAAGTAAAATAATTTTTATTTTGAGTTTAATATTTTAATAAACTTTATTCTGTCAGTTTTATATGGAACTTTCTTTAGTATAATCTAGGAACATTCATAAAATGTATTAAAAGATGTATATTAGGTCAATATCATGCACATGAAATAATCAAAATACATTTTTTCATCTTATTTTCTAGTTTTTGTTTTGTGTTTAAGATTTAAGTACTGCTTTTGTATTAAGATTTTCTTACTAAGGAAAATGAAAATTTTAAATTTAAATTCATTTTATTCTTGATTATTTGGTGTTTTTCTTTAGAACTTATTGTTTTTCTAGGAGTGGGGAATTGAAGGTTACCATTTGTGGATTGTCTGTGATTGCTTCTCAGATGATGATAATTCATCTGCAGAAGATGAAAATTCTAAAGAAGGTGGAATATCAACTCAGTTGATACAGATGCAGTTTGTTAAAAGTACTTTGACAGTTAACCCTTGCATGGTGAGTGTATTCTAATTTATTGCATAAAATGATACAAGAAAAAAGAATTCTACAAATTTACAAACTTATATCAAAATTGTATGAAATAATAAAAATTAAGCTTTTTCTACTTTGCATATAAAATTACATGAAAAAGTGCTTTTATATCTCTTTAGAAGCTGCTTTTTTTATTTGACTTTCATTGAAGGAATATTGTCAGATGAACTCTTTAAGATTATAATAAACATACGGTAAAATGAATATTAAAATTGCTGTAATAAAGAAAAATAACAACACCAGAATGCTATATTATTTGAGATGGAAATGGTTTTGGAATAACAAATATTTCTTAAATATTTAAAAATGTTTATAGAAAGCATAATTAAGCGTTCAATAATGATTATTCTATGTACTGTACGTGGGTGTGATGATGGTTCTCAACAATTTCCTATCATAGCCATGTTTGCTTTTATTTTACTACCCTCCCTATTTCCTTATCTGTCATCTGTTTGTTAGGTAGGTTCCTTACTGATTGTCTCTGTCCCTCTTGCTTTCAATATGTCCTGTGAGTGTCAAATTTTTCAAGCCTTTCCTCATTAAATTAAATTTTTGTACTTACTTGATTTTAACAAGAGTCCTCCTTCAAGAATGTACTAGCATCTTGATAGATAACCTGATGGAAATGGTGACATGCTGTGTATAAAATTCTTCCAACTTGGGCATGACCTATACCACCAGGAGGAAGGCTTGACTATGGGTTTGTTATCACCAGAGATGGCGAACCCATACATGGAATACTTCAATGAAATGGCTTTAAAGCCAACCATATGACTATTGGGATATGTGGTGTAATGGATTTCATCTCGGAATGAGAACACTGAGAGCTTTGTTTGAATCCCAGTTGAATTGTATTCACTTACACACAAATACCCTTGGGAAAGATATAAATCCATCTTTTCTCCTCCCAGCTATGGGTTGAATAGCAGGACAGACTGGGTTCTTTAGCCTTGGTTGGCAACCAGTCTACTGCAGAAAGAAATGGCAACCTACTGTGGGAAAAAATCTTCTGCCTCATCAGTCATGTATCAAAAGATATATGATCACCCAAGCGTGTATCCCGTCCTGGATATGACGATAAACTGCATCTGCGTCCTTGGTAAGACGATAAACTACATCCAACAGCTAGGGTCCCACTTACGGGTTAAATAGGCCCTTCTCTCTGTTGGCAGGGTGTCTGAATATGTCGACTGCCCCCCTGCAGAGAGTAAAAGCCTCTCAATGGGGCCACCTGTTGGCCATGGGTGGTGACCCATAATGCCTGGAGACGGGATCCTGGTGGCTGAGCAATCCATGAACCAGGAAAAAGCGGCCATGGTACTGCAACACTCCACTTTGGCCCTTATCTGGGCTAGATAGGCAGTCGGAGAGGCCCAATCCGATCAATCAGCTAGATCCGACACGCCCTAGCATATATAATTGTCTTTATTTTCTCCCAATCATGTTATACACTCTGCTCATGTAGAATCATCAATCTGCTCTTGCGGAACTAGTCCCAACCCTCTATTATATATGATAGAAGGTGGGGCTAAGGGTCAATCGTGTCGAGATATGACTGTTGACCAACATTAGACTGTTGAGTGTTTGATAGAGATTCAGAAACATACTCTTGGTGTGAGTATACTGGTTTTGTATAAGTTGGACTCCATGGTGGGTGGAGGAGCATGGGACCAGCAAAAACATAAAAACACGTATGGCTTCCTCTACAATAAAAAACGCAGTTATATAGAATCTGATTCTTCTTCAGATAATGAAATGGAATCATCCTTTCCAAGATTTGTTGTTATAGAGTCATGTAGCTCACTAATCACAAATTTATCTCCCTTTATAATAGAAAAGGTGATATCAGGTAACTTAACACCTTTAACTGTCAAGAAATTGAAAAATGAGACACTGCTTGTCGAAGTGGAAAAGAAGAAACATGCAGATTTTCTACTAAAAATGACTAAGTTCCACAACGTTCCAGTAAAAACATACCCTCTCAAATCCCTGAACACAAGTAAGGGGTTGTGAGAAGGGCTTCCTATCTTTATGTACAATAGAAGTAATTAAGAAAGAGTTGAAAAAACAAGATGTCATTGATGTTAAATGAATTTCAATAAAAAAAGAAGGTAAAATGATAGAAACAAACACCTATATGACATTTAACTCACCAAAAATACCAGAGAAAATTAAAGTAGGCTATACCATGGAGAGGGTCAAGCAGTTTGTGCCTAACCCTCTGAGATGTTATAAATGTCAAAAATATGGACATCATAGAGGATGAGAGGTGTGTGGGAAATGTGGCCAAAAAGATCCTGACCATCACATGAATGAATGTGAATTTCCTAATAAATGTGCTGTGGTGGTGATCATCCAGTCTACGCAAGATCTTGCGACAGTTGAAGAGAAAAGGAAATTCTATCAATAAAGCACAAAAATAACATTCCTTACCAAGAAGCACGGAAGATGATAGTAGGGCTGAACACTACCACATATTCCCAAGTAGTTGTTCAGGAAAAAAAAAAACAAAACACCAGAACAAATATGAAGAATTTGTCAAAACATTAATGCAGCTGAACCTGGGAGACTGGGACAATTTTATTAATAAGATAAAAGCCTTGAAAATGGTCTTGATAAAAACAATACAGCTACAGTTTCAGAAACACCAACTACTCAAAGTAATCCTGGACAAAGGAGAATCTTCCACTAAAACAACTACAAAAACAACAACGGCGCAGACACAAACCACTTCTCCTAAGAAACAAAAGTCGCTGAAATCATCAAGCCATCCTCCTACTTATAAAAGTGATAATCTTGGGAAAAATCAAGCATTAAACCCCGAACCAAACAATGATAAGACAGAATGTGCCCTACAATCTAAAATAGACAATACTCAAACTTCATCCTCATGGGAACGGGTAAAGTTGTCGAACTTGACAAGTCAATCTACAGAATTATCAACATCAAAGGTTGATACCAAAAATAGATTTAGCTCGATAGAAAGAATGGAGACTGAAGAGCTAAGCAATATAAACAAATCTAGGAAACACAATAACTCTAATTTAACATAATGAAACTGCAAAATAATTCAGTTCTACAATGGAACTGCAGAGGAATTAGAGCCAACTATGAAGAACTTCTAATACTCTTGGATAAATATAACCCCAAAGTTGTATGCCTTCAAGAAACATTTCTCAAGGACACCAACTAGTTAAACATTAAAAATTGCAATTCATACAATCACTTACACAGACACAGAGCTTCTGGAGGTGTATCAATCCTAGTTAGGAAAGACATACCTCAACACCAAATAACCATAGACAGTGAACTCCAAATAATTGCTGTCAAAACAACATTGCAAAAAACAGTAAATATCTGTTCTATCTATATTCCACCACATGAGACTATTAATGATATTAAATTTAACAAGTTAATAAAACAAATTCCTAAACCTCACTACATTTTTGAAAAAATAATGTTGCCAGCTATACAGTTTTGAAAAAATAATGTTGCCAGCTATACGTTTCTGGAAAAAAAATGTTGCCAGCTATACGTTTAATAGTACTATATGTTAAATATATATATAGTTATTTATGTGTGTGTGTATATATATATATATATATATATATGTATATATATATATAATATATTATAATAATATTTTTTGTTTAAAAATATGATTCCTTCGCTACATAAGAGTTCTCATGTTTCAAAAATGAGAGCCGAAATATCCAAATAATTATTAAAATTAAGTTGGATTGTGGTGTTTAGTCCCGTTTCATCTTCAAGCGAAATTTTAGGAATAAGCTATTTGTTGGTTTACGTGTATTTTTAGGCCCGGTCATTTTGGAATTCGTTATTGTGGGAGTGGCTAGACTATTTTCCTTCGTTAAGTGGTCAGAGAGTTAATTCTTATCAATAGATTCATCATCTTCTAAGAGGTTTTGGTAAGGTTGAGTAGGGTATCTATTTCAAGGCTAATGTTTGCAGTCGCCCTTTAGTTAGTTCCCAGTGAGGGATATTTTTATGGCGCGCCTACAATCGTTATGTGTCTGGGGAATTGTCTTTTATTATTGTCCATCTGATTATCTATTTATTTATTTGTTTATTCAAGTGGGTGTTTTATATACAGATCGCATTGCACTGAATTTCAATTTTTTTTGTTTTTTGACAACTACATAAAGGGTTTTTCCTATTTAATGATTTCGCTTTGCTTTTAAGAATTTTACTTAGCTATGGGATTTTTTTTTTAGATACCCTACTCAACCTTACCAAAACCTCTTAGAAGATGATGAATCTATTGATAAGAATTAACTCTCTGACCACTTAACGAAGGAAAATAGTCTAGCCACTCCCACAATAACGAATTCCAAAATGACCATGCCTAAAATACACGTAAAACCAACAAATAGCTTATTCCTAAAATTTCGCTTGAAGATGAAACGGACTAAACACCACAATCCAACTTAATTTTAATAATTATTTGGATATTTCGGCTCTCGTTTTTGAAACATGAGAACTCTTATGTAGCAAAGGAATCCTATTTTTAAACAAAAAATATTATTATAATATAAGCTCTACTTCTGTATGGAGCACTGTCTTCTTAAAAATAAAAAACAAAAAATACTAAGGAACCCCAGATTATGCACCCAACGTGTCCTTTTCTATTTTCTGCATACCTACGCATTTATATATATATATATATATATATATATATATAAACTTAATTTGGCATTAAATGACCTACAGTGCTTGATATGCCATAAAACCCAACCAACCAACCAAGTGTGTATCCCATGTGGCACTTAACTGACTGATATGGCTGGCATACCAAGCTGACACTTTTTTTACCTCATTAAGAAGCCATGCAAATAATGCTGGCTTATGTGAACTTGGTAAGATTTTTGATCCAGTTCAAATTGGAAGATGAAACTAATAACTCACAGAAATGTATTCAAGACATGTATATATTACAAACCAAC